AATCTAATGAGACTGAGCTTTTAACCTTCATTTTAGGAATAGAAAAAGAGAGCAGATCTAGAATGACTGCCCTGGTGGCAGGAAGATACACAGATGCAAGAGGGATACCTGCTTTCCTTACTGATTCAGAGCTTCCCTGGTGCCTCCTCCACTGCCCAAGACCTCAGGATATTTTCAGCAAACAGAACATTTCTGCAGAAACATTTTTCTCTCAGCAAGCACCATTTCATCAGGAAAGAAATTAAAACTTGATCAATATAATTCCACTAGCAGTTTAATTCCTGCTCATGCTACAAAACTAATTGTGTAGAACTAGGTTTGCAATTTATATTTCTATTATGTTCTTCTCTGAATGTAAAATGGGAATCTGAGCTTCTTCTACCTTTATATCCATGGGTGGAAGACTTTCTCCCTGTGTGGGTGTATTACACACAAAGTAAGCAGCATATCAGCTCATTTGTAACATAGATGATGCTTGTCCCTCTATGCTCTATTTTAAAAAAATACAGCCAACAGCTAGGAAGTGGAAGTCAGAGATTTTATCTGCCATCCGTGACTCGAATATTAGATATCTAAATAAAATATTGAATTATTTGAAGAAATGAATTTATTGCATGCTATGTGTTTCTTTGCAGAACAATGTGACAGTGGGATAACATTTTGCAATTTCGGATTGTTTCCCATGGCAAGAAAATTACATTTGCCAGCCAGCTGGTTTCTTTTACTCCGTTTAATGTACACATGATGGGTACTGGTTAGAGTGGGAGACAAGAAGCCCTGCTCACTCCAGCTCAACAGCAAGCACTCTGGGGAAGGCTCAGCTGACAGCTCCTGGCACCAGAGCTGGCATGTGCTTGCCACTCCCTTCAGTATCTCCTGTCCCTCATCTTGTCCCTCATCATTTCATGTCCCCGTTTTTAAACCCTCCACTGTCTCCCATGTCAGTGAACCTTCTCATTAATCCATTTTCTCCACTACCTGTCCCATAAATCTTTCCTTGCCCTTCTCCTCCACAGTGGTAGCTGCTCTTCCCATCAGGGAGACATTCTTCTTTCTGACCCCTGCAAATGAAGATCCTGTATTTCAATATATGAATATCCCTTGATACTATTGTTAATAATGTTATCTGTGATATATTAAGAGATGGCTTGGCACCCAGTGCTCTAATTTGTCAACTGACAAGGTGGTTGTTGGTTAAAGTTTGGACTCATTGATCTTGGGGGGTCTTTTCCAGCCTCAACGCTTCTATGGTTCCATAATTTTACTCCTTCCCCTATACAACTCTACCTCAGACAACTCTGTTTTAAACACAAACATTACTATTCACATAGGTCAAGACCAGAGTAAAACGTTTTCTTGGTCTAGTGCATAAGATAGAGGAAATAGCTTTTCCTTGTGCAGAATTATTAGACACTATTTCATTAGTTTTCTTTGGTTCAGTCTGTTTCTGAAATCTTGCTTCTAGTCAGCAACTGCAGTGAGAGACTGCACCTTTTGGGTCGGACACAGAGTCACAGAACCATTAAGGTGGGAAAAGCCCTCCAAGACCACGGAGTTCCCTTTTGGCTGAGCACCTCCCTCTCAACTAAAGCACAAGTGCCTGGTAGAGTCACCTCTAGAGCACTTCCCAGGATGACGACTCCAGCACTTCCCTTGGCAGCCCATGCAGTGCCTGACAAGCCTTTGGTGAAGAAATCCTTCCTGCTGTCCAAGCTGAGCCTGTCCTGGCTCACCGAGGCCATTTGCTCCTGCCCTGAGGCTGGCTGCCTGGGAGGAGCTGCCAGTGCCTGGGACACAGCCCAAGGAAAAGCCTTTGTTCCCTGCACAGCTCTACCAGGCTGGCACCTGCACGGCAACGGAACTTGCAGAGGTGACCTAACACAGCTCTCTTCTATGCAGAAGAAGCATCAAGGAGCTCAAGAGAGTTTGGTGCAGATACAACACTGCCACTTGCTGATCACCAGAATTGCTAAATCTGGACAAGTGTGCTGGGACAGCTAGGAACCCGCTGCTCCTTCTGCAGCTTTGCAACACAACCTGTTGCAAAGGTTTAAGACCTGCCAGTAGACCTCTAGACATCATGTTCCCAAAGTTATTTTCAAGTTATACCTTCAAAGCTTCGCTGCATTCTGCGCTGTGTGAATTCAAGGCAGGGGAGCCCAGTGAATCCACATGCAGAGGCTGAATGAACACTGCAGCTCAGAGCAGCTTCAGAGTTCTCACACTGTCACCACAGCCCAGAGAACAGTGGAGCAGCAGCTGCTCACAAGCTCAAGCTCCAGCACAACTTCCAGAGAGTAGCTTAAGTATTTAAAAGGTCAAATAAAAGTTTTGTGTGTCTCCCCCTCTCCACAGTTTTTTCTTGTTACTTCACTGATAAAGTCTGGGGAGGACATGCTGCTGTTGTTATAGTGCAACAGGACTGGCAAAGCCCCACTTTAGAAAAGTGTAGGTTGTAGCATACATGACTAATGATTAATGATGCTCATTAAAAAATGAAGTTCTGATGAAATTCATTAATGCTTGGCTTGAGTCTTGCTAACAGTTATGCAACATTAAGAGCAAGGCAATTACAGATCTTGGCTGCAACTCATTGAGAGATAAAAGAATACCCTTTTTCCTGTTTAACTCAATGTATGACATGCTGCACTACAGAAAAGAGCTGTCCTGAAAAAGCTTCTCCAACAATGAGACACAGCCTGCAGCTCCATTGCCACCTGCGGGTAAGTGCTGGAGTCTGTCATCCTGCTTCAGTTCCCAGAGCACAGGGGGAAAAAAGCATCCACAGAAAAGAAGGATGAGAAGTAAAAGCCACGTTTCTACCTTGCCCTGGGGATGTGCTGAGCCCGAGCAGCAGCCTCAGCCAGAGCTGACTTACAAGATGGACCCTGGGCACTGTGGCTGACACCATCAGTATTGTTCAGCTAAAAATACATGACTGAGACGCTGATGCTGTCTGTTTAACACCAAACCAACTGCTTTGGAAACTTTCACATCACCTTGTGTCGTTATCTGTGAGAAATGCAGCATTCCAAGGACCTTTCCCAACTGACATGGACAGAGACTTGGCTGTAGAGTATTTTACAGGAAACCCTCCTAGCCAAGGCAAGGGCCCTGGCCAAGCCCTGCTCCCTGCTGGCTGGGAAGTGTGCCATCAGCTCCAGGAGTTTCTGTGATAAAATATAATCAAGCCACTTGGACTTGCTGATTTGGGCCTATAAACGCTGCTCCCACTTTTGGGGTGAATCTGGAGACCTCACCTCTGGGTGGAAGCACTGTGTAGGATTTTCCCAATTGCCAGGAAGGGTTCTGCAGGTCCTGGCTGTGAAATGGGGCTCCCCAGGCACTGTGGGCTCTGGATGATGGAGCATTTAGGCAATTGGTGATGTATCTATCTCTCTCAATCACCACCCTTTCTCTTGTACAGCAATGATGAGGTGCATTACCTTTCTTACTTTTGCTTGCTGCTAAAGCCAAGCATGTAGTGTTATTGAATTATCATTTCACTTTTGTGTTGCCTTAAAATTCACAGTAAAATAAGACCATTCTTTCCATTGGCATCCGTGTCCTTTAAACTGCCCCCATCAACTGGCAGAACACCTGGTCAGCCAGAAAATAGTTTCAAGTAGACATCACCTTTGGCCTCTCAGGTGAGGACTTTTACTTCAACAGTTTCATACATTGATCCTTTCACACTCCTGAGAATCTAGAAGCCAGATGAGCAACATAATTCTGAACAGCACAGCAAGAGACCGGGATAAGGGTAAACTGCCTATTGGTTCTAGGGAATATTAACAAAAAATGGGAAGGAAACATATATAGATATTATTGTATCTATTAACAACGTATTCATGTCAAATATATTAACCTATAATGCTACATACATCCTAAATAACCCAAATCAGCTTTGTATTGTTATTAAGATTAAATGTGCTATTTTGAATTCACTCAGGAAAACTCCTGGGAGTGCATACTTTATACAGCTGACATTTAAGTATCCTAGTTATCGGAGTCCACTACACATGCCATTGTTTTCCCTCCTATTTTATGTCTGTACTATGCTCTTTATCTAAAGAAGAATTATTAATAACTTACTCAGGACCTTATTTTCTGGGTTGGCCTCATAAAACCTCTTCATTACTTCCCATGGACAGCTTCCATCTCAGCCTGAGCTTACTCTGAATGCTCTAGCCAACCTGTCAATGAAGGATTTTTACTTAGGGAAGAAAAGAAAGATTCCAGGTTACCTTGGATTAACTCACCAGCACAGATCTCCTCTGCACTGCAACCACAACAGTGAGCAATGATTAGCCACAGCTTAGCCCTCCCTGTGGAGCTCTGAGGATTTGGGCAGTGGATGCCAGAGAAACACCCATCTCTGGGCTCCAAGCAGCAACTCAGGAGGGATAGTAACCCCAGCCACAGTCTATTTCCTATTAAATTGAAATCACATGAGGTTTGAAGGAATCCTAGATCATCCAGTTCCAATTCTCTGCCATGGGCAGGGACACTTTCCACCATCCCGGGTTGCTCAGAGCCCCATCCAGCCTGGCCTTGAGCACACTCCAGCTGATCCAGCCCAGTGCCACCAGCAATGGATACAGAGCTTATTTCAGGCATCGTGGATCAGCCTATAAAATGTTCCCCCAGAGGTGAAACAGCACTTATGAGGCATAAATTGAATTCCAGTGCAGCCCTGACTTTGCATGCTTTCCTCCTTTTCCTAGTGGCAGTGATGCCTCCTGACAGCCATGATCCATTCCTGTCTCCCACATTAAATTTCAGCAATGACCAAGCTTGTTTAACATGCAAAACTGTTAACAATTCACTTGGTGCAAGCAAAATTCTGGCTCAAAATATGTGTTTTTAGCTGCACTGTCAATCCCATGGAGAGGTATGCATTGGGCGTCTGCCACAACCCTTTAAGAACTCTTGACAATTCTGTACCAAGAGTTCTCAAACCTGGGGAAAGCAAAATCATCACAATATATACCAACAGCGCCATTAGAAACCAACTTTATTGTTGCAATTTCAAATTATTTACACAATATAAATCTCTTTGAAAGATACATTACTTCATTTAATCAGTGGTAGAAGGCCTTAGAATAGTTTCAATCACATTTAGCTCAAAAGAAATACAATTCACTCCAATGAATAAATGATGCACCTAAACACCACAACATACAAGAGGCATGGGGACTCCTTTGGGGATGACAGTGCTAGAGATGACAAAGGCTCTTTTATAAATTGAGCTCAGTTTACTCACAGGACACGAGTGGACTTGTGTTTAAAAGAACACTGAAAAATCCGCAGTAACAAAGAAAATGACACAAAATGGAATATATTCCTCATGTGCTGTGGCCCTGTGTCTGCAAGTGTTCAGGGGGTTTTAGTGAAGAGGCTCAGAACCAACGGCCCTGACTTGAAGCCACACCTCAAAGACTGGGTACATTCTCCCTGCTGAGACTATCCAAAGCACTTGTGTACAAAGCAGCAGCATTAACTACCACACTGTGATACAAAATGGTAAATGGAAATCTGCTACAAAATAAAAGAACTTTCACACACTGAAGGCTGGACACTTATTTTCTGACAACACTTAGGAATTACTACTACCAAAAATTTAGAAACACATACTTTCTCTCCAGTTCATGCTGTATTTTATCCATTTTATATTATATTTTTCATGTTTCTCTTCCAAGGTCTCTTTCATTTGCATTTTGCATGGGTCTCTATGTGGGGAAAAAACCCAAAACCACTTAATAGAGGAAAAACACAGTTGCAATGCCACAAAAATAGGCTGGTGCAGCACCTGAAGTTATGTCAGCATTTAGCATCAAAGTTGGCTTGCTAGATTTCAAGTAACTTGTTTTCCTTTCCTTTTCATTTCCATGAAGTTTCCCTCTGTGTCATCTCTCAATAAACACCAAATCAAAGACATTGGGGAAGTCCATGAACTGAATTCCACAGCACAGGGAAACTGTGATAGCAGCTTGACAACTTCAGAAGGCTGCAGAAAGAGAGTGTGAAAGCCTGAACCAAAAATTTGGTCATCTGGTCAAGTCTGGCCATCTAAGGTCCCAGTGGTCTTCAGGGCCATGCCAGTCAAGTTTTCTGACATTTCCCAATAGCAATAAAACCCTTCATGAAAGAATTCTGTGCAGAGCAACATCCACACTATTAAATACACAGAAAAGCCCAAATCACAATGCATTGCAAACTAATCAGCTACAAAGGTGCTTCCTTTTTTTAGAAATTATTTTTTGAACAGTTTCTTCCCTCTCTCCCCAGGTTGACTGGTTTCTAATTACATAATCTCTGCAGATCAGACCAACTGTAAAAGTCACTTAAAAAGAAAAAAAAGTTTTACAAAAACAATGCCTTATCCAGTGTCTCAGCACTTCACTTGGATGGAGCACCTCCTTACAACCAGCCTGTGCAAACACTTCAGACATTTTCCTTCCCACTGAAGGTCTCTAAGCCACAAAGTCTGGTTCAATCCAACACATTCCGTCTGGAATGGTGTGATTTCTCACTGCTGAGAGCCCCTGTGTCTGGTTAACAGAACATCCACCCTGCACAAGCTCAAAGGTCTTGGTTTTTCCTATCTTTCACAGCTATTGAAAACAATTAGTTTGCCACTCACAGTCATAGAGGGAGGAAAAATCATCTGCAAGACTGCTCCACATCAGCCTTGCATTTCCCTTAAGGTCTGAAAAAATGCTTTCTGCTCCACTGCCATGACTACAGCCTGCTGGGTGTGGAAGATGACAGTAGACAGTTGCCAAGTGCAGCAGTTTAGCAATCTTAACACACAACAAATAACAAAAAAACATGAAAACAAGCAACATACAAGCACCCAATACACAGACACATGTGACATGCTCAACCTGCTCTGCTAACTAGAACAAGAGACCACAGCGTCACTGCGGTTTGGAACAAAGTTTTAGCACATCCCTCCTCCTGACTAGCACTTCTTGGATAAACTCACTTCCCAGGACCTTTGTAACCTCAAGTGTCACACAGGTAAGGCTGAGAGGTTGTAAAAACTGCATCAAGGTCAATTTGTCAGATGGAGATCAAGATTTGCAAACCAGAATTTTCCAGCCGAGGTATTCAACACACCAGTGAGAAGAATAAACTGAGAGCTTGAAGGACACCATGGAGTTCACAACAGACGATGAAAGGCAACAGTGATGAAACACAGGGAAAAAACTAACCTTTGTTATGTCTGTGTTTCCAAGGTTAAAGGCCTCTTCAGAAAGGGACTTCTTACACAAAAAAAAATTCTGATGAGAAGTCATGCACTGACCAAGCAGAATGTAATTTTAGTCCAAAAGGAAATAGTGATAAGCCAAGTATGGGAAAGAAGATTTAGATTCATGTTTACAGTAAAAGAAATAGGATTGTGGGCACAAGGTGGAGGGGGAAGGAATCACACATAGGGAAAATATCTCAGCTATAAGTTTTAAATACTCTAAAGGGGTACAATAGTTCTAGAGTTGAGGTAATTAATTCACAGACCTCTATGAGTGATTTGGGCATTCAGTATAAGCACTTACAAGTTAGCAACTAATCCTATTAGAAGGCTATATCCACCAAAAGCATTTGAGGGACTATCACAGCTACCTCAAGCAGTGTCCCCATGGGAGCACACACTTCAGGAGTGCTTCAATCCAACACGCTCAGTTTAGAAGTCAACAGCATTCAAGAATGTATAGGAAATGTTTGGAAGTTTAAAGAAACAACTTTAACAGCTTTCCCTATCCCACTGGTACTGCATATACCTCGGACACATGGTTTGCCCTATTATTAGAACAGATCTTCTCTTAATCTAAGTACTGTATAAATCTCTTTATTCCCAGAATCATTCCCAAGAGCAAGATTTCAAAAAAGCTAATGGGGGAAAAAAGACACTGGGTGTCCAAGGCTATAATTGGATATCTTAACAAGAAAGTATTATGCTGCGTTATAAATCAATTTAACAAAAGAAGTCTGCACACAGAGTTAGATTTCTTCTTTACAACAAGATTTCTACAAAATAGGAGAGAATACAATGCAATACACAAGTCCATAAATGCAAGATAGAGTACAATTCACACTAATTTACAAATGGTTATTTACACTGTTGTATATACACGTACAGTCAGACCTGGTTAATGCAAATTTCACGTCCTTTTAAAAAGCAAATCAACAAATGTCAATGAAGGTATTTAAAATTATGTGACAGGAGACTAGTGACCGTTCAGAAACCTTTAGTGCTTGAGTGACCTAAGAAATTAGGTCTGGATTAGCCAGATCTGACTGCAGAAATGAGAAGGAAAAAAAATCACACTATTCTGCTTTACAAAAGCAACCAGGCCACTACAGTCTATTGACTTGATGCTATTTCTGCAAGAATGCCCAGATTAATGATCCTCTTTATATTTACAATATAGCTTTAACTACAGCAAGAATTATTAATTTTGGCATTCATGCCCTTAGCTTAACAAAGGCAACAGAGTATCTTCTTGGCAAGTCACAGTCAAAACTACTACAGGATGTTTCTAGAGCTCAGTCATTTTTTTGTCCTCCTTCCAATATGTTCATGTTGCTATTACAGAGACCAAGATAAATTAAGTGAAACAATTACATGTTTTCTAGTACCTAACTTACATTCAGAATGTCCTGTATTCACAGTTTCAAGCTACCTTACCATCTGCAATGCAAATTACTACTTCCAACTGAATGCACCTGTAGATATTCCTCAGGAAATGAGGATATCCAAGTGCTACTAGCTCAAACGGATGTGGAACAAGGCTCAAGGCAACTGGCATTTCATTTTGGGAGATGCTTTACAGTATTTCCTCAGAGTGATCACAAATGGATTTAACCTGCACTTCTCTTGAGAGAAAGCAGATTCAGAGCAGTGCTGAAGTGAATTCCAACGTGCAAACTTAAAGCCTTGACCAGTACTGCAAAGTCAACCACTGCAACCTGTGATGGTCCTTGTGCTCCTTCAAAGTGGCTCAGGAAAAGCTTGGGCTATTTGCTACCTGCCTCAAAGTGCTTTCACAGGATTCACTGCACAAGGATGAGACTGAGCTGCACTCAGGAAAAGCTTTGGTTCTGCGGAAGCAAACTTCCACTCCTGCAGTTATTGCTACTTGAGCTATACAAACAAAATACTACTGACAAAAATTACAGTAACTCCAAACCTAAGTAGTACTGGTACCTGAAAAGGGAATGTGTTTTGCCAGCCATTGGGAAACTTGGGATCTGTCAGCTGTTGGATTTCCCAAGACCAAATGAACTTCACAGCCTTCTTTCAAAGTATTTCATAAATACAAAGCAACACTGTCAGAAATAAAGCTGCTGCTTGGAAGAAAATAGCAACAAAGAGTTTAAAAATCTTCAGCAATCTTAGTTCCAAGGACATCTTGCTGAACTTAAAGGAAATACAAGACAGCAGGGTATTATTCATCAAATGTCAATAAAGTCCATAGGGAGAAAGTACAGAAGATTAAGGACTTCAGTGCCTTCATGAGCTCTAGCAACATCCTTGATAACTGCTACAAAGTAAATTATAAATGTCTATTTAAGCTATTTGTTTCAAATCAAAAGAGAGTTTGTCCAGTATAGTAGCCTCCAGCTAACAAAAACGGTTACCTCATTTCAAGTTACAAAAAAATCCCAGCTCTCCCATTTGTATAAAGATTTTTAAGGTTTTGACTGAATAAAAACAAAATGAAAACATTCATAGATTAATATAAACAAGAGGAAAAACAAATCCTAAATGGTGCTTTTGTAAAACAAGAGAATACCATAGGAAATGGTCTTTATTGGTGAAGATTTTTCATTCACATGAGTTGTCTTTGTCCTGAATCACAAGCTTTTGTAAAGCACACGTGTATGTACATGTGTACATGCTATACACACATACACACACTGCCAGGTGCCATAAAGCAATTTTGAATAAATATCTTTGCTGGAGTCTGTACAACAGACTCCCCAGCTAAGTTTGTGTTTGCACGTGCTCGTGCACATGCACAGACTTTGTACACGTGGGCACTTATGTGACCAAAGTGCAAAGTTTGTCAGAGTATCATCAGAGTCGAGCTCATGCCTGCCCCAAACCGCATTGCTGGGCTTGAGCTTTCTGCTGTGGGTTCCTTCCCATCTCCTGCCCCAACCCCACCCTCCCTTTCACAGTTAAAGCCTCTTTTCCACACAAACTTATGCATTGCTCCAGTAGGTAAACATTTTGTTTTCAGTTAACATTTTGTAATCCAGACCACTCTTGGTATAATAGCTTTAAGAAATAAAGTGTGAGATGATCAAAGCCTCACTTCCAAAGTCATACACTTTTCCACACTCTCCTTCAAACTGGAGGCTTTGAAAAGCAATTTGCTGACAGAAAAAAAAAAAAAGAACCACCAGACATACCAGAATTTGCACAACTACAGGACCAGGCATTTAAGACTCAAGAGTCCAAGGTTAGAAGAGGACAAAGCAGAAAGTTGTCTTCGATACAGGAGCTATGAGCCTGTGTCTTGCTCCCCAGTGCCACAGGACCTCTGCTCTCCTATCTCAGGTCCAACAGTCCATTCTGCCACTGGAGCACAACAGATACAGACACCAGAACGGTGTTCAAATCCAGAATCAAGATGCAAAATGGAAGAGATTTGGAATAGTGGTCTTTTGATTCTAAGAGTACAGGTAATAAACAAGCAGCTTTCCCAGGGAAGTTGGGGATGGCAGGCCCATCACCAGCAGTTGGTACAATATCCTCAGAGAATCTTGTGGTCACAGAACTTGAACATTTCTACAGCCCAATCCAGATGAAAAAAAATCAAAATGTTATTTATCCTTTCAACAAGCTGCTTGATTCTTGTGCAAAAGAAAAGTACCATTGTATGGAAAGCTACCTTTAAAAAAAGGGGTGGAGGGAGAAACAAAGATCATCCTAACCCTTCTCCCTAGCTATACCACACTAGAGATCTCACAAGTCTACTGTCACTCCTTTTGCTCGTAGGCCTCTAAAAGAACAACTGTCTCTGACATGTCTTCTTCAGCATAAGTGAATGCAACTTCAATAAATTAAGTTGTTGAACAAATCCTTTGGAACAACTTCACTGTCTGCACCCAACTTTAACAGAAACTGATGAAAGCAGCAACGGAATCATGTTAAACATATAATAAATAATTCACGTACAACATATGTTAAATTACAAAGAAGGATTAAATTGCCATTTCTACAACTTTTTATAGATTTAGCAAGTTTCTAATCCGTTTTATATCAACAGCAGTACGTATGTTCTTCATAATAAATTTAACATTGAAGGACTGTCTAGAGGCATTATTTATAAAGCAAGAACCACCAAGTGAGCATTACAGCACTTCAACAAATGTTTAGCTTTTTTTCCAGTATCTGTTCTCAGAAAAGTTTCAGGGGTTGTCCATCCACTTGGTAAGAGTCCTCCTCTTCATTACTCAGGAAGGGTTAACGTCATGACCTCCAGTTTCATTTTGAAATACTGGTTAAACCGAACAATTGCATACCTGGTCAAAGGGAGAGAGACATTCCAGGTTAGAACAGCTAACTCTTCACATGACAACAGCCATGCTAAGTAGGACTAGTCAAAATTCCACCGACCCCAGCACCCTGTTTTCACAACTGACTCTTAGCAGCTGCCAAAGGAAGAAATCAGGAACAGAGCAATGACATTATAGAACTTCTTCTCTACCACCCCCCAATCCCAGCTTGCAAACGAGATGCTGCTCCAGGATTATCAAGGGTAGTGGTGTAGTGTTTAACTGTTCTTAATGGACTGTCCAACAAGCGCAATGCCAGAGGAATGTGATCCTGGCGATTAGAACGCTGACAGGTTTTGGGGTTATGGTCACTGGTGCTGCCGCTCCCTCTCGCGGTGGCTGCCAGGCACTGCGGCCTGAGACAACCAGAACGCACATTGTCACCTTTGTCCTTACTCACAAAAACGGCATTACACAGCCCAGAAAAACGGCCTCTGCAAAAATCCTCAAGTGGGACCTTCTGCCAGGTAAAATGATCAATTGTATCACTTTTCTGGTCCCCAATGGAGAAATTAATTCCTCTGCTTGTTGCCATGAAAGACCATTTTAAAAAGGCCAAAGATGCAGGTATCTACCTGAAACAGAACTTAATATTCATTGGCGGTACAAAGACTCTTTAAAACAAGAACAGCAACTTCCAGGATCAACACTCCATGCAGTAGGTAATCAAGCTCTTTTGTACTGTATCTTTGACTCTCACTGTTGGACATGCAGGTCTTGCACCTGACAGCACACCTCACTGACCAACTTGCCTTTTATGCCTTTGTCTCCCCAGCAGAAAACACTTGATTCCCAAAAACATTATGTTTCTTGCCTTGTAAACCATGTGTTTTAGCCCAGGGGCACACAATTTAGAGAACTTTCCGCAACAAAAAACACTGACAGACAGCTTTTACTGCCTTGTTTTCCCTTAAAAATGAAAGGTTTTATCGTATGATCACAGAGGTCAGGTGTTTTGCTCAGATCACAGTTTCTGATAGCTGGGGTGTTGGACTAAATGGCACCACAAGCCCCTTCCAGCCTCTAGCATTTCATGATTGTACACAGCAAGCACACTTACCCTAGAAAATCAAAATCAATGGTGGAGTATTTGGCTTGAATCAGAGCCCACAATCCCCAAAAGAAGTGCGAAGCCTGAAAGAAAAAAAAATTAGCAGCAAAAAATTAACCTTATCTTAAATCTAACACACAAACATATTCTCAGAGACAAAACTTCATCTGTAAGAGAACACTCAAACCCCAATCTTTTTGTAAAGTCATTTGATCTCTCTACCAAAGAGATTTATAAGCAGTATTACAGAATAAATTACTCACAAGCAGACAAGGAAATCCATTGGAGTCTAGCTCCCTCCCCATGTTGAAAGCAGCAATGGATTGCTGCTTTTCAAGAGAAACAATGTTCCATTTACAAACTGTAACCTATTAAGTAGCTTGTTGTATGACTATATACACCATGCTCAAAAAATGCACAGAAATGTAACCACCACCTCTACTGCTGTAGATTTCTATTATTCCACATTTATTGAACTCCAGGGCAAACAGGAAATTCCTTTTGAATTTTCAATTACACCCTTAGACTGTATAATTACACTCACTTTTCCAGCCACTGCTGGCTTGGACAAAGGGAGATGTAATGCTTTAAGAAAAGCTCTAATTCATCAGCATTTACACAAATTTCTCATCTGTTCCAGACTTACTTCCATTAGGAGTAGAGAGAAGTAGCCTGGAGGCCTCTGTTCATGTTCAGATTCCAAGTATGGATCATATTAATGGTATGATGTCAATACACTTCAACATGAACATGTGATGGCCAGAAGCTTGACAGTGTCCCTGTGGAAGACACTTCTGGACAGACTTTGAACTTCAGTAAGTGATGGCTCACATGAATTACCTAAATGGCTTCCTGAAGCTTGCATGGAACACTTGACCAGGAACTGAGTGGACATCCACGGACACACCTGAAAACACCTCAAAACAGCAACTGATGTGTGCCCACGTGAATCCTGTACCTCTGGTTCACAGAACGTGGCCAGAGAGCTGCAGTTCACCACTTCACATCAACATCCATGAACTTCATGTCAAGTTTTCCCTCACCAAAGCTCCCCACATGAACTGACACAAGAGTCACAGGGTGTTTGTGCATCACAGGTACTCTACAGGCAGGTCCTGACCTGTTATCTAAACACAGCTCCATCCTCTTAAACATTGCTATGGCCGTTGTTTGAAACTGACAGAGGAGTGCTGTTTATTTTCAAACAGACCACCAGCCTGCTAAACTGCAGCTCTAAGTATCCTAAATGAGTGGGCCAGCTGAATTTGACAGTAGCAACTAACATTTTAAAACAGCAGCACACAAACCGTTGGTTTTAAAGCCTGTTTAATAATCAGCTTCCTGTTAACTCTACTTCCTGACTGCAGCCAGTAGCTTTTGCCAGAAAACTCAGGGTATTACAGTAACAGAGGTGTGGTTGAATTAGTAGGAAAGAGGAATAAATAAGGCCAAAGTGGCTACTTTAGCCTTACTCCTCCTACAAATAGCTGGGAATGTTATTCTTCAGAAATAAAAAAATACAAGCACTTTTGCTGTAACATTTCTTGTCACATCATCCAGGCAAAACAAGATCAGCAAGAGACTCTAGAGAGTGACCTACTTATCTGCAGAATTAAAAATGAAATCCATATATTCTAGTTTAACAGAATGTTATCGTCTTATTTTGAAAAAGGCTTTTAAAGCTTATAAGCCTTCATGAAGCACTACCTTGTTTTCTGTTTTCTCACCACTACAAGCAAAAACTCAATAAAGACCCACCATAAGCTGTGGCAAACTTAAACTTGCCAGGCCAATACACAGCCAACAGAAATCCTCACTCAAAGCTCATCCCCTCGTTTTCTGAATGTGCAGTGCCTCCTTCACTAGGAATATTCTACAGAGAACACCTAATATGTAACAGAGAAGCAAGTTTCCATAAAACAGCAAAGTCTCATTTTTCATGGAAGTTTTCTTTACATGTCACTACAATCAAATTCAGGAAAATAGCAACTACATTTGTTCAGAGTGTCAGGTTTCTCTGCATCATTTAAAATATTCTAATCAAGTGTTTGTTACTTACCAGTGCAAACTGATTGACTTGGACATACAGAACTTCAACTTCTTTTTCACTGACTTCTGTGCCAAATCCTTTATATTCTTTGTAGGCCTCGAGGTAAGATCTCAGCCACTGCTCCTGTAATTTTCTGTTGGGATAAAGGCTGTAGTCTACCTCATTTACTCCTAGGAAAAAGACAAGAACACTATCAGAACCCCATGTTGCATAAAAAGACCACAAGAAACCCTTTAGTACTACCATTAGTAGTCCACTACTGTGCCCCTTCCCACCCCAACACACAGGCACAGATTGATGTGAACAAATAACCCCATTTTTACTTTGACCTCACCTTAAATTACATGCTGCCAAGAATTTCCCACATACAAATCACAGTGTTCCACATTACAAATTTATGTTTTCAGCCAGATAGAGTCTGCTTCTACGTTAGGATTCAACACCTTGGGTTTTGAGAAAAAGCATCTGCTTTATGAAACAAAAACCCTCATAAATAGACCAAATATTATGTATTTTGTAGGAAAAGAGACTTATATGCCACAATATCCCAAGCCAAATCCAGATGCATACCCAGTTATCACTGAGCCCATGTTTGAAGAAAACTTGCTGTGAGTCTGCCTCTCTCCTCCACAGGGCATTGGTAGAATGAGGAGCCCATAACTCATTTTTATCCTATTTTTCTTCCTATACTGGAGGTGCTTAGTCACAGGCTATAGGGACTCAGCTGGGAGCCTCAAACCTGGATCACAGTTCACTTCCAATATCACTCCCAGGGAATTTGGGAATTCTCAATAATTTAACATGCTTTCCAAATGTTTAAATTACCAACTATACAACTCAAATTACCAAGCACACACTCTGATTTTTTTTTTTAAGTTATGTAAACTTAACATGGTCTGTGAAGCAACTGGTAGATCAAGGCTCTTCATTTCACCACAGTGTGCTTTCCATCTGCTCTTATTATTAAGTAGATTTTCCCTGCTGGCCCATGCTCTGAAATAGTACAGCACATACTTGAGGTCATTTCTCTCTTATGGAGTAAGGGGGAATGGGCATTTGCTGTAAAAAATGTGAACTAGTGAATAAATTAATCTAAAACCACCGTACTCCTAAAATCCCACCTTTTCCCTATGGAATAGTCTTAGTGTTTACTTCTTGTTTTAGGACAGGTCAAGTACTTCGTGCACACATTCAAACCACTAAAAAACACAGAATCCTGCCTTTTGGCACTGTGGAATCCCACAGAATACTGTCAACACGTGCACCGCTAGTGTAACATGCACAGTACTGCACCACAGTGGGCTGTCTCTGCTGTCACCTCACAGAAGCTGTGTGTTCTGAACTTATCTAACTATGAGAACTCGGGACATGATGCTTCCAGCTCTGGGTTAGAAGATCTGCAAAGGAAGAGCACAACTGGTCTGCAAAATGAGACACACCAACACATCCTGAGCTGAGAGCTGTAAGCATGTAACCAGATACAAAAACAAGAGTGAGTTTGCTGGGGTTTTTAGAAAAACCAGTCCACTCTTCCCTCAGAAGGCCAGTTCTTACCTGCAAATTCGTTGAAGTGATTTCCAATGTCATAAGCCAGGTAGTTGTACCCGGAGTACTCGTAGTCTATGAACTGCACATCACCTGTGTGAGAAACAACAGCAGCAACATCAGAGTCCAGATCAAATCAAGTACCAGCCCTGGTCCTTTGGTGTCCTTGGAAGATTTTTGGAGAAAACAACCACAGATCTACTTATACCCAGTTGTGTGCGCTCAGACACTTCAGGGTAAGGCTGTGATTTCTACGATAGGAGATATTTAAGGGTAAATATTCATTCAGCAAAGCTCTTAAGTTCAGAGCTTACAATTCTCTCTGCTTCAAGTCCGAGTAGGAGAATTCCAATTTTAACTTCTACCACATGAGGGCCTCCCTCACTCTCAAAACGAGACATACAGCAGCACATTCTTTCGTTAAACTTTATGTAAAAATAGCAGATCAATTTCTCCCTGACTTAAAAAATAACAGTCCTGTTTATTTATCACACAAATGTGCAGCCACAGTGGACTAACACATTGCAACATGCTGATACTTGCTTTGTAAGAGTGGTAGAGGAAACAGGAAGATTATTCGTAACTGTTGCTTTTTTTAAGCTGGATTCAACTAGCGTCAAGTAACCATCAGACTAAGGTCCCCAAAGTTACCAAACTACGTAGCATTGTGTAAGCAAGGGCTGATACAGCAGCAAAACACAGCCCCAAATGTTTCCTTAATATGTTCACCTGCACTGAAGCTGCTCAAGAGTGCCTACAGCACGCAGAACAGTTGAAATGTACAAAGCAGCACAACACAGCCCCAAATGTTTCCTTATTATGTTCACCTGCACTGAAGCTGGGGAAAATGCACTGAAGCTGCTCAAGAGTGCCTACAGCACGCAGAACAGTTGAAATGTAAATGAGATTGATCAGGTAAAACTAGACTCTTGTATTTTACAGGAAACCAGCAAAATTACTAAAAAAAAAAACAAAATTAAGCAATGGGCTAACATCTGTTTGCACTAGAACACTAAAATGAAAACCTTACATTTCTCACTGTTATACTGAAATCAGTAATTTTCACCATTGCGTGCTTCTCCCTCTCTATAATATTTTTTTAATCGCTACATACATTACTTAATTAACAAAAACATTCTATTATAATGACAACTCTTCTAACATTACTTAAAACTCTAGGCTAAAAAGACAATCAAGAACAATGTTAATATTAAGTGCATTATGTATATGTTTCCTAGACAAAGGATTTTAAGTGCCTACTACACTACCTCCTAAAGATTTAGGAATATTGTACATCTCAAGTAAAATAGTTTCACCAATGGCCTGACCAAGTTAGCACAGAAGTTTGTTAGAAGTGTTCTTTGCTATGCAGTTCATCTTTGCCATTCTTGAACTCCTAACACAATTATGTTTGCCAGATGGACAAATCTTTTTGTCTAAGCACTTAAAATGGAAATTAAACTCTACAACACAAATATAATCACTTAGCCACAAATCCTCCAAGTCTGAGTTCACCCTTACTTCCACTGAAACAAAGGCTTGCTTACCAAGGTCATGATGCTAAATGTCTAGGTTCTAACAAACCAACAGCACTGCAAAGTGGCAAGCTCCTTCCAGGAAACTCTGCTGGCAGTGGAAAAAAATTGAAGGCCTCTAGAGCTTTGAAGCAGCAAATCCTACAGCAGCTGCAGGCAAGATCTTACTGTCACTGATGAACTTGTGCTCTGCCTGACTGGCAGATTCCCAGCCTTGCTCTTCCCACTGCTTCTCCAGGGCTGCTTTTCACAACAGACACCTCTAAAGCCACCAGCCAGTTAAAACCCCAGCCCTGGCTAATGTTCTGCTCCACAAGAGCTCTTCTGTCCCCATTCCGCGCCCCAAACATTTAATATCACTTGTATTGAGAGGTTTGTTCTCTTCCTTCCTTACCTAAAATCCAAACACAGCAGGTGAAAGCCTGCTAGTAAAATACAGACATAAATCCCTTAAATTTTTCATGCGCAGATCTCACCTAGAACATCCCTATGTGTCATCATGAATTTTTAATTGCATTTAAACAACTTACTTCCAGATATAAAGAATATTACATAGAAGCAGAAATTGAAGCTAACAAGATATGGCTGGCTACTGTCCTCACAAAGCAGGAACAGGACATACCCAGCCCTTGGGTAGCAGATGGAGAAAACCTGGCAAACTCCCATTTGACAAGACAAAAGTTCAAAGCAAAAAAGCTTTCCACATACACGAATCCATTTCAGACTCATAGTACTGTGCAACTCAACCTTTTAAATTAATTTTTGCACAATGGCTCAAAATAAATATGCAAGTTCTTCCTGTGGAACTATAAGCGAAAACTTTGACGTTTGCTGCTTCAAAAATGTGCAACAGATGTACTTATACATGTAAGTACACACACACACTCATCTAGCCGCCTTTGGAAAAAGCAGAAGAAAGTCTGCAGTCATTGTTTAAATAATCACGTGCAACAGATGTACTTATACATGTAAGTGCACACACATTCATCTACCCTCCTTTGGAAAAAGCAGAAGAAAGTCTGCAGTCATTGTTTAAATAATCAGTGTATTTTAAGATTTACTGCAGTTCAGACGAGAAAGCCACTTCTAAAAGCTATGCTTACATTACTGGCTTAGCAGGTAGCTGTTGTTTCAAGGTTTCTAAAAGGAATCCACAAATTGTGCATCCCATCAATATCCCTGAGAGCAAGAGACACTGGTCTAAGCGTATTTGTGCTTTATTGAAATGAGAAAATTTGCAAACAAGCTCTCTGGAGAAGCTGCTGCTGTTGACAGAAATAGGCATGTCAAGAGTGTGGAATATCTCAAGCTGAAACACGACTTTTTTCCAGGCATTTCTCTAGGGCAGACAACATGCAACATACCCCACAAAAAAACACAGGATCATACAGAATGGAATTCACTGTATTCCATATCCCAGAAATGCACTTTCACATAGATCAAACAGCAATCAACAAAGCATCTGCTGGATCTCCTCAGGGATCTGACAAGTAGGAGGGTGAGGACCCTCTTCTCCTAGCTGATTTTCCTTTTCAAAGGTTTCACAGGGAAAGCACTTCCCCTGCCCAAGTCCTGGCTGTAGCTACCAGAGCTGAGTTCTGTCCCATACTGCTCACGGAGCCCCTGGAAAACAGCTTCAAAGACAAGGATCTGTGCTAGGAACATGCTTGAAAATTCACAAACAGCTCACCCACCCAAAGGATAATTTTAGCTATAAATACCCAAAAGAGCTGTGCAAAACAAAACAGGTTTTTAGATCAAAACCAGAAGCCTTAAAAATACCTCCATCTTCAGAAGCACTAAGCACCCACAGACTCCTACCACAGATCATAGAAAACATCAGGTAGGCAGAGGGAATAAACAGAACAAAACTACCCATCTACCTACACACAACTCCCTGCAGCTCATTTTCATATATGCAAAAAAAGCACACATAGAAACAGAAAAGTACTCTGATGTTGGATCTTGTTGAATAGCAAGTATTTGAATACTCTTAAAATATCAGGTATTTTTGGAAATTTCCAGGTCACGCTGGAAAAACAAAAACAATCAAATTTAGGAGCATCAGAACATAAGGTCTATAAATAAGCAGCACCAAGCTTCAAGCATATTTTGAATATTCTTGATGTCAAAAGTGCAATAAAAAGAAATGTGAAATGCTGAACTATATCCTTCAAAGGGTAGATGACAGTGATAATTACAAGTTATGTAAAGTACCACTTGCAGATTTCCATATCCTGAGTGACTGAGAATGGACATTAACAAAACAGCAAGAGGCAGAGTTCTCTCAGCCACAGCAGGAACAAATTCAAATCAGATGAGTGAGACTCCATTAAATGAAGTTAACACTCAACATGCTCTTCCAGGCTCATAAATAAGGACAGGAGACTGATTTTTCTTAGAAGCAGTATGTGGCATGACTATGATTTTTCTTTCAAGTCTGAAAACTTTATGTGAATTTAATGCAGAGGACAAGTCTAAGGCAAAGCTCAGGAACAAGCCATAATTACTCATACTGCATTGGACACAAGTCCTAGTATGTCCTGATAGTCTGTAGCTTAAACACATCCTCACTTATCTCCCCAACTAGTAAATGTGCAAATTAAGCATTCAAAAACAAAATTATAAATACACTATTACTAAAACAAATAAATTAGGTTTTCTTTGTCTAATTATCTCCCCAACTAGTAAATTATAAATACAGTATTACTAAAACAAATAAATTAGGTTTTCTTTGTGACAGCTTCTGAAAAGCCAGACAATACTACCAGTTTTGCACAAATTTTAGTGAGGAATAAAGAAAAAAAAATACGGTAGTTAATCTAGAAAATCAACGTCCTCGTGTTTTCAGTTTAGGGTCACCAAGATCTTATGGACACACAGAAGCTTTTCTAGATGGAAGAGTGAATTTAGTCAGAGTACTGCATTCACCAAAGCTGTTAACTACCTTCAGACAATTTGATGCCATTCCTAGTGAAGCTAATCTTTTAAAAGATTACATTTTGTGCTCTTGCAATTATTTTTTTTTATACCAAGAAAAACTTTTGCTCTGCTGAACACAATTCCAGTTATACATGTTTCTTTACAGTTAAAGCTGAGCTTCCTGCTGATGCTCTGTAAAAAGTGTGCTATAAAAAAGAGCTTCCAAATGACAACCATCCTTTCTACAGATGGCATTGAGGTTTGGTTACTATGAAAATGGTTCCTGTTGTACCCAGATTGCACAAATTTTACAACACAGTACATGTACAGTGTTCAAACAGAAGTTTAATAATATATTTATTACTTCACATTTCCAAGTGTTTCCCCCAGCTGTTTACAGCTTGCTTGAAGCTTAAGCTCTTTACAAACCTCCCTCTCCCCACCCAGTCTCCAAGCTCTAAACACGCACACACTTGTTACTGTAGGATTGCTCACAAGGGATGCACTGCTGGCATTGTTTTTTCCCCCATCCTGCTTACAAAAAGAAAAGCACACAGCATTTGTTTTTTCAATTAGGTGCTTCAAGCTTATCGACAAGAACAGGGAAGCTTTTAAAGGAATTCCTCAGATCTTTTTGTTGCATAGTTCTGCTATGAAAAGTGACTAAAAAAATAACTTTTATCTCAGTGGGTCTGCTGTGGAATGCTAAAACCCAAGGCTTCAGTGTTCCATTTCAGCACTAAAAAAACCCACATGGTAAAATCAGATTTAGTTTTGGTACTGCAGTATCACAACCCCAAGTGTGAAGACCACAAGTCTGGTCTTATGCACACCTGTCATGCTTTCGAAAGCCCCTTTCTCTTTTAAGCAGAACTATAGTCCATCACTGAAACTCAGCAAAACCTCTCAAGCTTGGTACTGAATTCACAGAATGTAAAGTTGACATTAATAGCATTGTTAGGGTGCATGCACACATACAGGCATACCTAACTTAAAGCAATTCCTTCAAAGGTGGCATTACTCAGAGGGAAGCTTGTATACAAATCACCAAAAGAATTTATTTCCTCAGTTCACATGGTGATGCAGAATTCACACATGATGCAGAAATGTGTTAGCACATACAGCCAGTTTTCATACTAGAACCAGCACCACCTTAGTTTTGTTCTTTTTCTTTAGGAGTTAAGGCACATAACTTGCATACCAACAATCTTACTCAACTGGCACAAAAATATGCAGCTACTAGAAGGAATGCGTCATCCTTATTTCAAGAGAAAACCTTGTAATCTGATTAGTCACATTCAGCTGAGCTCAGGTATTTGAAATGGGAGGAAAATTGTGTATTTTTACTGCACAGTGGCCATTTTAGTGTCACAAGTTTGCGTTGTTTAATTCCTGATTGATTCACTTAGTAGCTGAGCCCCAAACCACTAAAACCAATAAACTGTGGGTCTATATGGAAGCTTTAACAGATCTTAATAACAGTAACTACAAGTTAAATGTATAGTAATAGAAACAAAACTGTAATTAATTTTTGCCAAGATGGGTGCTGCCTACAACTGCTTAAACAAAGCATGTATTTACAAAAGAAATCTTTCAAGTTGTCGGTGTACGTCATGCAGGAAACAAATTGAGCTACTGAATGTAGTATTTAATTTCATTAAGATTCTTCATTAAGAAAGTGTATTCCCCACAATCACATGCCAGAAAAAAATGTTACAGGAGACAATTTTCATATTGTCTTCTATACTTGCATGATTTTCTTTTCTTCCCAAAAGCTTTATACAACCAGAATAGAATTAGCATTCAGTTACGTACTTTGCAGCCCAGGCATACAGGCAAGCTGGGGATTAACAAATTCATGAGGTCATTAAGAAAAGCAAGGAACACTGATTTTCTTCCTCTATACAGTAGCATACAGATGAGAATTAGCTAATTAACCACAGGTATCACTACCATTACACTGGGTCTCTCAAGCTCAAACTGAGTTCACCTCAACAAGTGAGTAAAACACCACCACTGATGCAGCACAGCAATTACAGCACAGCCAAAGCCCCTCACTACTCACACCTACCTCTCTTCTTGTTATAAATGATATTCTTACACAGCAGGTCGTTGTGGCAGAGCACCACTGGTGATCCTAAATTTGACAGTCTCTCCTTCATCCAGGCCATCTCTTCCTGAAGAACTTGGGGACTCGGAATGTCCCTTAAGAACCTTTCCAGGTATAAGGAAACAGAGTTAACATTTAGTGCTCTGTGTTCCATAGCAAGCATTTGAATTAAAGTACTTTTCTCTACATTCTTCCTGCAAACAGTTCAACAGACCCTCTCCCAAATCAGCGTATGCTTTCCCAAGGCACAAAGCAGTCAAATTACGACAATCATTTTTCTCTGTCCTCCCCAGAAAACAATCTTCTGAAGATTATCTGTGCTGTAAACACAACAGTAGTCCAAGAATCAGGAGCAGGACATGAATACACTCCCACATATTTTAAAGGTGCAGAGCTTAAAAGAACTACCATGTGAATTTCATTCACTTTCTGTTCACATTCCAGTACTTCCTCCAAGAACACACAACAGTACAGGCAACTATGTATCTATACCAAGGAAATTAACACTAAGTTTTAGTCTAGTCACAGTACACACTTCAATGGCCATTCTGTCCTCTACATTTTAAGTTACCTATTCATGCTTACTCAGTTTTATAAGAATTTGGCATTGTAAAATAAAAACCACTTTGCTAGAGCATTCTTTAATTCTTAACAGCATTCTTAACAACACAGCAAGAAGGGCCTCCATGATTTCAAAGTCACATTAAGAATATTTTTAAGCTGTCTCAGAAGGAGTCTGCCTTCTGAGCAAGATACAAAGCCTGATGATACTGTACAAACACAAATTCCAGCAGAAGGAATGTGAAGTCTGAAAAGAATACAAGGAAATACCCACCTTTTATTGACTTCCTCATCTGCAAATTCTGTGGGTATGAGGGAGAAGTATTTCCCCATTTTCAGCCACAAATTAGATTTAGGGATCCATCCATTGTGTGCATGAATAGTATGGATTTTAGCAAGCTGTCTAGCAATGAGTCTAAAAAAAAATGAAAATTAAATTAATGTTATATTTAACTGAAAAAAAATTTAAAAATACAGCTCAGGAATTGAAAAAGGGTTTAAACAAGAGTAGCACATTTCAAGACTCAAAAGTTCACTAGGATCACAACCAGTGTGAAGGGAAGGGGGAAGGATTGGAGCTCAGTTACAGCACACAAACTTCACCTGCATTTACAGCCTACTCTTGCTTGTTTTTCCAAGTTTTGATTTAACTTAGCTGCTATTTTTAGGCAGATTCATTTCAGTGCACGCATGAAAAACTAAAATCTTATGACATCAGCACTTTCTGCTCACTGCTAACAATTTAAAAAATCACTTCTCAGTGGAACTTTCTGGTATCTATTCACAAAAGGAATGTACTGGAAAGAGCTGGAAGTACTTTAGCCAAGTCCAGCCCCCTACAACTCCACCACATGCAATGACCTCCGTGATGGTGATGTCTCTTGCTCTTGCACAACAACCAGCCCTTTAATCAGTACGGTGTTCTGTGAGGGCATCAGGGATCACTGCTCAGCACTGAAATAGCAGAACTGAGGCAGCGTGAAGATCAGCCTTGAGCAGGCTTACAGAAATACACATTTTCTGCTCAAACCCCGCTCCAAGTCCTTGAGGCCAGGCAGAACTTCATAAACGCACCATGAAGGGAGATTTGGAAGAGTTTAAAAGCCCACCTGAAAATGTCAGGATTGCAGACGTGCTCTGGATCCAGGGCCTCTCCCTGCATGAACTCGTAGCACAGGCCGTTGTTGAAGGTGCAGTAGAGCTGGGGGGCACAGCCGTGGGCCTGCAGCACGCGGAAGCTCTTCACCTCCTCGTCGCGGTCCACCAGCAGCTCCGTCTTGTTGCCGTAGATGCGAACCAGCACCACGTCGTCCCTCGTGTCGCCCACGTAGCAGCCAATCAACTTATTGGTGATCCCGTCGGTGAAGAGCTGCCAAGAGAAACAACGCTCTAAACTCAGCTCTGCAGGAAGGGAATGCCGAGTTATCCCTTAGCTCCCAAAACACCAAGGTTTACCAGGCTGAGCGCTAGGAAATAAAATCTTAAAGACAGAGGAATACCATGAAAAAAATACTTTAATATAAATGTGGTGGGTTCTCTGTATTTACAGTCATCTCTTCTTCCACTCTGTGCCCTCAAAATCCTAATTCTAAATTCAGCCCTCCCACAAAAGATCCTCACAGTAAAACAAGCAAGCAGCAAAAAGCAGCTTCAAGCTGGATAACAAACATTTTTTAATTCTTAATAGCAATGAGGTCAGAAAGTCAGCTGAAGAAAAGAAACCTATTTATCAGGCTCAGAATACTAAACGTTCAACCACAACAGTTTGATTTCCTTATGTATTCGTGTCCAGTCATGCACCCTCTGACATGACTTTGGCTTTAAGCCCTAAGTCAGGCCCAGAACAAAAATACTGACAAACACAGTGATCTCTCCTTTGTCAGACATTATTCTAAGCCATAGTATTGAATGAAAAAGTGCTTCTGCTAAAAACACACACCAACAAGAGGAAACATACCTACAGACATCACAATTCTTTAGAACCTTGGACAGTTTGGGTGGGGTTTTGATATGGGCTGGGGGAAGAAGGTAATCAGGGGATTTTTTTGTTTGCTTTGTAAAACAGTAAAACAAAATTCAGGAAGTTTGCCTTCTATTCCCCTCCCCCTGCTTCAAGATATACCCTTTATTTTGAAAAGCAGTATCACTCAAACACAAGTGACAGATTATTTCCAAATCTCAGGGGTTTAGAAATGTTGAGAATTAGGGGCAAATTTTTTTAATTACTAAAGAGAAAAAAAAAATCTGAAGTTGGGTCAAGTCTCTCTGTTTAGGAACAGACAAAGACTTTCACAGGAGATATGTTTTAGCTCATACGCCTTGCTTTCCCCAACACCCCTAATTTGATGAGGTCAACAGATTCACCAATAAACGCAGAAAAGAAGTGGGGAAGTTTCAGTTGTCATCAGAAATTAGAAGAAACAGCTCAAGCTCCTGAGGAAAGATGCAGAAGATACAAAGGTATTCTATTTTCTTGAACAGTTACAAACACTCAGTCTTGAAGAAGTAGGTATAACAAATTACGTAACTTCCATCTAGACAGGATAACCTAAATTCAAATAAAGCTGCTTACAAGGCCTCTTTGACTGACTCAAAATTAAGACTTCACAATTTATGGGCACATCTTACTATTAGCTATGACTTTAGCAACTCAGGATGAATAAGAAGAATCCTGAACAGTGTTCACAGTAACTGTTACAACATTAAGCACTGCAAGTAAGAAAACTGCTCCACTTAGCACCGTAGATACTGGGCTGGAGCAGCGCTTCACGGGTCTGAACAGGCAGTACTCCAAGGCACTTCAAATGCTTGTACACCACTAATTACTACAAATGTGCCCATTTATAACCTTCCAGTCATATCTGTACAGTCACAGAACTGCTCAGATGAGGAAGGGACCTCCTGGGATCCTCTAGTTAAACCTCCTGCTCAAGCAGGAGGACCAGGCAGAGCCAGCTGCCCAGGACTGTGCCCAGGGCAATCTCCAGGAATTCTGGAGACTTTATAACCTTTACAACCTGTCTGGCAGCACATTCCAGTGCTTGACCACCCTCATGGTAAAAAAATTTTTTGTTGACATAAAGCTTCCCATGTTTTATGCCCATTGCCTTGGTTTGTCACTGGGCTCTGAGAGGAGTCTGAATGTCTGTTCCAGTCCCCCTCCCCAGGTATTTATACATCTAAGATCCCTGCAAGTCTCCTTTTTTCCAGCCAAATATGAAAGATTCTCCAGGTCCCTCTGTAATCTTCATGAACCTTTCTTTGCTGGACTTGTTCAATGAACATGTGTCTTCCTTCTACTAGGGAGCCAAGAGCAGGACACAAGCACCTAAAGATGGCAAATCAACATACAAGTACTGATCCTTATACATTTTAACACAAACCCAGAATTAATTTGTTTAAAAAGTATGAAGTTCACTTTGCAGAAGTCATTCACATTGAGCTGCTCAAGTCAAAAAGTCTCTTACCTGCCATACTTAGATAAAAACTTCCAAAAAGTAGTTTAAAGAAAAAAAAAAGTACAATGAAAAAGACAGAGCTCTAAGGTAATCAGAAAGTGATACTACAAAAAAATATGCTAACAATGCTGATGCAAAGAAACAGTAAGAATTTGAGTTGTTATGCTGTTGTACAGAAACTCCTGGGCACATTTCACCTTCTGTCATAGGTCTATTATCCCCTTAAAACAAGTTTCATTAGCACTAATAAAAAGAAATCTGCAACAAGGAAATTGGACTCCCTCAACTGTTAATTTAGGAACTCTACTGATTAGCATCTATTTGTAACATGCTGCTACAAATAATTATTTATACCCAGGAGCATTTTAGCCCTTGCTTCTTAAAAAGGCAGAAGGGTTCACTTACTTTTCTAATAACATTATTCAAAGTAGACAATTTCCATATTCCATCATAAGACAACACCTAGTGTTTACTACCACCAGTAAAAGAACATAATAGTCACTTCACTCTTTTATTCAGAATGCCTTTACCATTTAAAGAATCAGCTTAGAAGGCCTTGCCCAAAACATAACCTGAAATGAAGCAGAGCAACACAGGAGTTCTATAGCAAAAACATCAGCTGAGCATGAAAAGCAGAGAACAAACTGACAATGTGCATAAGATGATCAGTGAAGCATCAAGGCCATGTGGAAGAAGATGGAAGAATCTACAGAATGCAATGAAAGTAGAAAATTCTAAGAACAAATAAAAATATTTATTTACAGAGACAATAGAGGTTAAGAACACAATGCAACACAGAAAAAAACTCCAGCAGCAAGGTTCTGACATGCCTGCAATTCACAAACGTTAATTACTGTTATATGTGCTTATCACAGCTTAATACAGACTTCCACATGAGGTGATCCAAAGGTAAAACTAAACGCAGAAACATTTCTGGAAATTATATTTATACTGCCCACAATCAGATCTAGCTTGAATCCAAGGCTTTCTAGAAAAAAAGAAACTCTTTAATGAAATGCAGACTTAAGGTGAGAAAGCCACAAATAAGCTTCAGCTACTCAAGTCTCAGAGAGGAGCACATGGTACAAGCAAGACATGAAGCACCTTTGAGACAGCTTACCCTAAAAGCACTGCTATTAGGTTATTGGATTCCTGGAAAGGGCATATGATGCATCTTCCATCTAATAAGCAGGTGTTCCATGAAAAGCTCCTCTCTAATCCCTTTGTTCCAAGTGTTCAGAAGAATGACAAAAATGAGTATGAAATTGCAATCACACGTAACAAGAACAAACAGACAGAAACAAAAATGTCATGGGGCAAAGTAGAAAGTACTTATGACTCAGAAGGGCTGACTTTTCCCTTCTGGACTGAGTTATGACATCCACAGGAAACAGTACTGCAATGCCATAAAAACACAACAGTGATGTGAAACTGCAGAATAAACAAGCAGGAATTCCCCAGATTCTGCTGCTGAACTCAGACTGACTTTAAGATCTCCAGAAAGGAAAATACTTCAATAACATGCTTCTTCAATGCTCACAAACCTTAACTTTGTATTGTACATCTGAGTTGATGCTTTCTCTGGAAAAGTATAGTCTACACAGACACATCCACAGGTATACAGGTCAAGAGCTGAACTCCTGGAAACAAGGCTAGTTATTTTTCTCTCTCTTAGCTACTGTAGCTGCCTTTCTGCAGCTATTCATAAAAGAAGGACAAAGTACAACTGCTGGAAAATGCCTTGGGTAAATTCTCACATGACCAGCCTCATTCAGAGGTCTCCAGGCTCTGCAGCCACATCCTCCAGGTCATTTCACCCAGCAGGTGGAAGTCACTGTCTGCAGGATTTAGGGGGTCAGATGATCAGGAGCGAGACCATTTGGTGTTAAAAATACCAAAAAAGCAGGAAGCAAGCAGGTCTGCAGCACTGCTCTGTGCCAGGCTCAGCCAGAGGCTGAGCTCCAGCTCCTGCGGAGCTCCTGGGGTGCGTGCAGGACAGCAGCACAGACAGCAGTGCCTGCAGCACACGGAGCTGCTGTAACCTTCACACGGCTCCTCAGGGCCACAAACACACACCCTTCAGCTGCAAGGTGGGGGGGTTGGTTTGGGTTGAGGGCTGGTTTTGATTGGAATGAGTGACAATATGTGAAAGTTTTTGGTGCGGTTTTTCTTTTGGTGGCGGGGGGAGGAGTTTGGTGGGTTTTTTTGTTTTTTGGTTTTTTTTTAATGCCAGGAAAAAAAAGAAAAGGAAGTTACTTATTTTTCAACTTTTTTTTTCTGAAGAATATTCCTCTACCTAAAAACAGTCAATGCCAGAAAAAAAAAAAGAAAAGGAAGTTATTTATTTTTCAACTTTTTTTCCTGAAGAATATTCCTCTACCTAAAAACAGTCAACATCAGATAACTAGTTAACATTTTGAAATTGATTAATTGGCTTTACAAATTTTGTGATGCTGATTAAAACAGCTACAGATTTTTAAATAATAATAGTAAAAAAAAACCTAATAGGAAAGGGAGCTAACACTTTATTCTAAATCCAAGAACTAATTTGCTGTTCCTCCCCCAGAAGAGTTTGACGTGAAATGCCCGGGGGCTGGGGAGGGAGGGGCAGAGGGACAGGAACTAAAATGTCTTGCACTATTCCTTTCCAATGCTACAAGCCTGCAGCACAAGTTATGTCCCTTTACAGGGACTCCTCCAAGCTGTGCCTGAACAAACACTGATTCCCTGTAACCACAGCCTCAGCCATCAACAAGCACCCCTCTACCCTGCACAGCTGAACTACATCAGGCACACACGGCACATCACTGACATGAAATGCCACTGCAGTGTCTGCCCCACACAGACACCACACAAACCTTCAGAAACAGGGGATCGAGACTGTCAAGCTTCATCAGAAGCTTCCACAGTCTGGAGAAACCAACGCAGCCTCCAGGGACATCCAATCCTGCTGGCATTTCCCCCTGACTGTGACACTGCGTTCAAGGCACACCTCAAATTACAGTTTTTCCACAAAACATCAGTAATGCAGCCCAGACTCAGCCCCAACTTTTCTATTCTTCTCCTCACTCATCACTTCTCCATTTGGAGCCATCAGCACTTCTCTGTGGAGTCAGCCCTTCCTCTTTATGTGGCAACTGCTTTCTCTCTGCTGAAGTGGGTGATGTGCCAAAACCAGCGGAGCAATAAACATCTCACTTGAAAAATGTTAACAGCACCGAGATACAAAATAAAGTCAGTTTCCTTTGTTTCCCAGACACTAACATTTTCAATTACTTCAATGCTTTTAAACCCACGCTCAGTCTGTTTAAATCAACTAAAAAATATTCTAACAAGTTCAGAACTCTGAACCAAATGACAGTTTGTTATAAAAAGAATATCATGATCAACACAAGCAAATAAATTAGATCAGCAGCCAGAAAATACTGCCTGAAGAAAAGCCACTGAGTGCAAGTCAGGATGAAAAATCAAAAAAAAAAAGACAAATGCTCATCTGGTAAACATAGAAGTAGGTGGGTGGTTGTTCCACTGGTGAAAGTACAATTTTTTATAAGCCTTGGGTCCATCCCATTCACATTTTGTAGCTGCAGGAACAAATCTTTGCAAATTACAAAGTGTTGCAGTAGTAAAATCATGCAAAGTGTTGATAAGTGCAAAGACACATAAATCTAGGAGAAAAAAAAAAAAAAAAAAAAAACCAAAAAAACCACATCAAAGTGTTGATAAGTGCAAAGACACAAATCTAGGAGAAAAAAACCAAACAAAACCAAAAAACCCACAGTACTAAAAAACAAGGAAGGTCCAAATATTTCACAGAATTAAAAAAAAAGCTAATTAATCCAACTTATTTGGAAATGATAGTTGCTTGCAGGATTAGCATGGGGAGGTTATGGAGTGTCTTTATGAAAAATTTAATCCCCTTTGCAAAACAGATTCTTTCCACCTCTCCTCAGGTTTCATCCAGGACAGCAGCACTGTTTGCCAGCCTAACACATTTATGATTTTAGATCTTTGAATGATTCCTCAAAAAATTTTTTTCCCACATATATCATCCTGGTCTACCCAAAGAATGGCATAAATTAACACTATTGGTATTAAGCTTTTTCACCAATAATGACATGCAGCCTTTATTCTCAGTACTAAATACTATTTCAGAACGGTAAGAAATACTGATGGTTTTTCCTGCACTGTAACATTACACTGCAGAGAATAAATTGTGTATTATCCTACTGAATCCTTCTCTGCCACCAGACTTACAAGAGGCACACAGCCATGGGATAAAAGAATCCTGAATCAGCACTACTGAAGTGGTAACTAATTCTCCCATACTGTAAGCAAACATTGATCTTCCTTGAATCTCCACAAAAGAGAAAAGTAAGGAATTTGTAAGGCAGGCAACAAAATCCAATCTGTGAGTGTATTTTTACGTAGGAAGAGTAATACCTCCTTAAAAGAGTAAAGAGTTAAAACAATTAAGTTTTTCTATTTCATTAAGGATCATGCAGAATATAAAAACTGGAATACCCACTGCCAAAATTCAGGCAGTTTACAAAACTCAGAAGTCCTGTTTTGAGCTAAAAGAGCATTTTAAAGTGAAATTTCTTTGAAAACCCATTTCTCATGTTCACAACAGCCAGTTTCTGAATTTAGCAAGCAGTGAGTTTCTCAGCAGAAGTCTGGGAGAGATATCCAAAGATTCCTTCCAACCAGAACTTTGCTTCCAACTCAACATTGCTTTTACAAAAAAACAGCCATTCCAGAACCAAAAGTGTGTACTGCAAAAAGCAGAGAAAGCAAACCTCAAAGTTCAGGAGTTAGAAAATCAAGCACCCCATTCTATAGAGTTCCTAGGACATTTTCAGCTGACAGCTGCACAAAGTACACAAAGATGAGCGTATAGGCAGAAAAATTCTGCTTCTCCCTAGCAATGTGGGATAACTTGAGCATTTGTACTGCCCTGTAGGGACAAAATTCACCTGTAGCTTCATATAAAGGAGATACATTACAGTATAGCTGCTTCCATTTCAAAAAGTAATAGGTGATGCTACTGATGTTATAGCCTTACTGACAAATAACACAATAAAAATTCAAATCTTCAGTGCTTAAATTATTCTATTTTCATCTCCCATCCTACATTATTGTTTTATGCTATGGTGCAAAAAAAAATTTAAATGTTAAAATATATTCCTGATTTCAGGTACTTATAAATCTCAGGGAAAGCAAGGATTAAGCATTAACCTACACTAGCTACAGTTCCAAAGTGGTTTAGCTGACTAAACAAATTAACACATAACAGTACATTTTTGCAAGACAAGTTAATTAACTTTTTCAAATCAAACTCTGGACTCTTCAACTGCTTACTAAGTGTTCTGACCCAAGAATTACTAAGAGCAAAGGTAGCAAATGGCAGAGTTCACCAGAAGAAGCAGCAGTTCATTAAACCTATCCTTGTCCTATCATTAAACCTATTCTTTGTCCGCTTGGCTGTTTCAGATTAGTCAGGCACACTTTCCATGCAGCACAGGAGTCCCACCCTCATCTCCCTGCTAAACACACCCATCTACAGGGAGGACTCCAGAGCAGCATCCTCCTGCTCAGCGGCAGAAAGAGGCAGCACCTTTGTGCATTCTGCAGGCACACCAGGAATCCATCTGCACTGCTGCTGGAGCCTGCCCCAAGCCACAGCACTCCTGCTTGCTACACGCTCACCGCAGCCCCAGCACCAGCCAGAGTGTTAAAAGTAAAAGGCCACTGAAGGGCCCTGTGAATGGAATGCTCTTCCACTGTTCTAAAGGAAAAGTTGTGTTCTTAAAGCAACTTGGTAAAACGAAACTCAAGACATCCTTTCGACAGAAACCGCTAACCACAGACAGTGAGCTCCTACTTCACTTCCCGTGTGACCGGTCAACAGAGACCCTGCTCCCCACCAATGGCACTGCTGTTTTTTATTCTGTTAATTGTTTCCTGCAAAGGGAGTGGCAGAAGGAGGCAACATATTTCTTCCAGAAGCTACTACCACTTTTTCCAAAGGATAAAGTCATCCCTGCTTAACAAGATAATGTTTTGGTTTCGTTTCTCAACAATCCCAAATGAAAGACACATAAATTTTTTGCTGAGACCTGCAGTCATCAGACAACCATAAAAATAAAACTATTTATAACTTTATGTAGCCCTGCAAGGTGCAGCAAGTTGCATTATGTTTTTGGACCACTTCCAACTCAAGATATTCCATGAACTTTAACAAGCTCGTTTACCTTTACACGTTGTAAAGCTATTTTCATTGCACCTCGAAATATTGGGACTGTGCATAACTTATGGCCACTGCCTCAAACACATTATTTAGAAAAAGCTCATTAGCTTTATTTCCATGCCAATGGGACTGCCACGTGTCAAGTTCCATTTTTCTTTCCAGACATCAGAACATTTCAGTCAAATTACATGCCATTACCTCAACGTGCTCAGCTTTCCTATACAAATTAGTTCAGCAGCCCTCCGAAGAGGAACTCCATTGAAATGAGACACCTCCGCGTAATAACAGCTACTGAGTAGCACAGCTGAGCATATAACAAAATGCTCAACTAACCACAGGCTGAACCGCTACTTCAGCCAGGCAAACTGGCTAGAGTTTTTAAGCCCGGGGGCCATGTTAAGCATATTCTAGAAGCACAAAAGCAGCCCATCCTCCGGCAGATGACTCGTCAGAAGTCCGAGTGCCCGCTCACCTAGAGAGCGGCAGGCAGCAGCGGTGCTTCTGCCGGGAGCAGCGAGCACGGGCCCTGGCGGGGCTGCTGCAAACGGAACCCAGCCCGGCTGCGAACACCAGACAGACATGCATTACGGCTTTTATTGCGGGAAGCACCCGAGCAGGCTGCACCACGGCCTGCTCCGGCAGCCCCGCTGCACCAACACGCCCCGCCGGCCGCACACGGCGCGGGGGACGCCGGCAGCGCCTCCCGTCCCCTCCTCACGGGAGCGGCTCCCGCTCCCTCCCTCGGCCCGGCTCCGGAGCTCCGGCGGGGAGGGCACGGCAGGCGGAGGACGGAAGGAGGGAGGGAAGGAAGGAGGCAGCCGGGGATGCTGCGCGCCGCCCCGCCCCGCCGCCGGGCCGCCCAGCAAATGGGGCTCCGCGCAGGGGGCTGCGGCGGCGAGCGGGGGAAGGAGGGAGGGGAGGAAACAAGGCGGCAGCTCCCCCGCACAATGGCCGCCCGCCCTCGCCCCCGCTGCTCCCCGCCCGGCCGGCCCGGGCTGCCGCAGCCCCGCGCGAAGGGGCCCGCGGACCCCCGTACCTGCAGCGTCACCTCCTCGGGTCTCCAGTGCGGGCGCAGCCGGCGCAGGAGCTGCAGGGCGCCCTGGCGGTAGCCGGGCCCCTCCCGCTCGCTGACCGTGATGTCCAGCTTGGGCACCTCCGGCGAGCCAGGCGGGACGTGGATGTAGTTGGACATGACAGCGGGCAGGACGCGGCGAGACACGAGGACACGAGAGTAGGCGGCCCTCGCTGGTGCTCCCTCCGCGGCGGAGCCGGCTACTGACGGGGAAATTTCCACTTGGGCTCCCGATAAAGCGGCTCCACCTCCCCGGCTGCAGCGCGGAGCAGCCTGGGAGAGCGGGAGGAGCCGGAGCCGGGCGGAGCCTGCCCGTCCCTTCAGGCACCGCCCGTCCCCTCCGGAGCCAGCCCGTCCCCTCAGGCACCGCCCGTCCCCTCCCGAGCCCCGCTGTCCCCTCAGGCGCCCGCCCGTCCCCTCCCGAGCCCCGCTGTCCCCTCAGGTACTGCCCGTCCCCTCCCGAGCCCCGCTGTCCCCTCAGGCACCGCCCGTCCCCTCCGGAGCCCCGCTGTCCCCTCAGGCCCCGCCCGTCCCCTGCGGAGCCCCGCTGTCCCCTCGATCACCCAGCCCAGGAGGGCATTCACCGAATGTGCCCGGGGCTGCTGCGGGACAGCGGCCGTGAAGGAACGCGGGCAGCTCCCGGCCCTCGCCGGGCTCGGAGTTGCGTGCTGCGGTTGATTTTTTGTCTTTAGTTTGGTCCCGGCTTTCGGGACCCTTCGCCGCGCCTCCCCTCAGGGCGCGCACCTGCCTTGAGCCGCTCCCTGCACACAGCAGCTACGTTCTTTAATTTTTCCCCTCACTTATTTTGTGCTGGGAATATTGTTGCCTTGAAGTTATTTTCGGCGGGGGGAAAAAAGGAGAAGAAAAACCACATCTTTTTTAGAAATATTTTGATGCTCCCCCTAATAGTCCTACGAGTACCTGCCTCCTTTCATATTCTGTGCTTTTCCCACCGACCAAGGTGTTCTTCTGTAAGAACTAAATTGAGTTAGACGAAGACACAAGAACTAGGTAAACAGTGGTCAAGCTGTCCCCTGGAGAGCTGTTACTCTGAAACAGACCCAGGTCAGGGCATCTTTAATCTCAGTATTCTTTTCCATCTAAACTTTGATTCAGACCAAGTATTTAAAATCTTCAGAGCCACGAATCTGTCTGGGAGAGCTCAAAAAAAAATTTTTTTTTATTTTTTTCCTTCTGCTGTATTTTAAATTAAAATTTTATGTTTATGGGTTTATGTTATTAGTGTTTGTTATTCTACATTAATAGGATTTTTCTATCAAGCATTGAAGGGGAAAGAACATCGGGGTCTGAATCAAATTTCAAATGCCAGAAAATTTCACCCATTTCTTCCATTAGCCCATTTCACTTTTCCTTCTTTGAAAGTAAGGATATTTTCAATTCAAATGCCTTGAAAAATAGTTTCCTTTTAAGACACTCACCTTCATACAGTGTTTAGCCCTATAAGTCAATATTGCCATAGAGGCATGATATCACTCTACCAGATCAAGCATGTGATTCATAGGGCCTCTCTTCTGCTTAGGCAGTTTGGTAGATGATAAACTAAGATTTATTTATAGATTAAGGCCAAAGAGATATTTTGTTGAAATGAAAAGGTTGAATGCTCCAGCTTCCAAATGTTAATTTCAACAAGAACTGGCCTAAACAGAGATTCCATCTTTCAAGTGCTGAGAATAATAAATACACCCACCAGAATGTTTCAGTTATTAACTCTGAGAAGCCTTGTGAATTTACCCAAGTCTGATTAGATTTCCATACACTGTATTTTTAACATAGAAGCTGGAGCAGTTATGGTGCTTAGATTGTTTGGGAATGATGAGAGCTGAACTTCTGTATACTAAATATTTACATAGGACATGAAAGAACCTTGAATGTTTAGGCAGTGGCACTCCCATCTTTCTGGTCATGGGATAACACATCCTTTTGGCTTGTCCTCATGGGGCATTGGCAATTCTTAATTCCTAGGTTTTTATTTTTAAAAATTCCTTATTTTCTTAATTCCTGTTATTTTAATCAATAAAGTTATAGTTAGCTACTCACCTGGTTTCCTTCCCTTTTAACCTTTTATTTCCCACAAATATCTGCTGTGTCCAGATCAAACCCCCAAAAAAGTGTTTTCTCTTAATGCTTGGTACGTTTGCAGGTACACCACACCAAACCAACTCATTCCAAGGCTGCTCAGAGAATGTTCACTGCAGGGAACTGAAGAAAACAGGATGTTTTGCTTCTCTCCCAGGCCTGTGCTCTACCAGTCCGACCTGCTTATCCTCCTTGTTCTGCCACTCTCTTTTCCCTTTTCTGCTATTCAGGAACCAGGTTGTGCCATTTAATTTATTCCTACACTTTTCACCTGGTCTTTATGTCAGTGCTGGATGCTTTATAAATGCTTGAAAAAAAAAGAAAAGGCATAAAGAGCAACGTCAGGATCAGAACCAGTTTTAACTTCCCAGGTGCAGTTCACCTGGCTGCTTTCCAGAGCCAGTAATTCAGTAATTGCTTCAGAAGGACACATTGCATAAATGTGACTAGAAATAGGACCCCTTCTAGCCATAATTAATTTTAATGGCCTTTTGCATAGTAGTGTTTCAAAATGCTTTTTATTGTCCTAATCTCACAAGTAAAAAACTGAGTCATCAGAAGGTTTAAATCTGCCATTAGACCAGACAGTGGGCTTGGACACAATTTTCTGACTTCCAGTCCTGTCCTTTGATCACAGGATTTCTTCAGTGCATTCAAGCATATCATTTCTGTTCATTGTCTCACATGTATTATTTGTGTCAGGATGAATCACATCTCCGTACACAGGATATAAAACTGTAAGTCAGCTCTTACATATTTACTTATTTATTTATTTTATTAATTTTTTAAATGCCTGGTGGCTTAGCATCCACCCAGCAGCATCCAACAGCATCCTAGCAACAACTCTTGACACACAAAGTTGATCATTCTGTCATGCTTATTGTATTCTGTAAACAGATTTTGTTTTAATCTCGGGGAAGATGAGTTTGAAATAGTTTATTTTATAAAAATCTTGACAGTTTAGAAATTTCTTAAAGATGGATACTGCTTGGTATGTTGTTGAAATGGTAAAAAGTCCTCTCTGCTGCAAGTTGCTTGACACAATAATAGGTTATAGCTTTTTAAAGTGTATTTTGAAAGATATATGAGACAGAGTAAAAAGCTCAGGGCTCATTGCAGTTTCCCAGCTTGATTTTCCATAGGCTCCCAGGTGTCACTCATGTGACAGTTCCACATGAGAACCTAGTGCCTGACCACCTAAGCCCTTTTTCCAGCATGGGAGTGCTGTGGTGCACAATGTGATGTGTTACAGGAGCTCCTCCAGCTGCTCGGGGTTTCACAGGGAAGTCTCAGAAGCTTCTGGAGGAAGCCTGGACATCTGTGAATGGCCTTGGTTACCCCCCGGGCCTCTCAGTGGGTTCCCTCTGTGCTGTCATGAGCTGTGTGTGAGCAGTGACCCAGTCACACCCTGCTGGAAACCTCAGCAAACTCACTAGCCCCTGGGCCAGGCCTGCCAATTCAACTCAACTCCAGCCAGAGGCAAACCTGATAAAACCTGCCCAGCTCACAGGAACAAAGACATGCTTGCACTTAAGCAGGTGCTAAATCAAAACAAGCAGCTTAGAAAGGAATTCTGCAGTTTCTCAGTTTTCTGCATGCTGTATGTTTGTTTGGGCTATTTATAAAGCAATATAGCCACTGAGTTAAAAGAAAGAAGAAAAATATCTTCATTTTAGTTACACTACTCAGAAAATACCTGTACCAAAAATAAGGGCTTAAACAAAGCAACACAAAATCATAATTAAGGCCAGTGCCTGTATTCATTTTAATAGATTAAGCTGTATTTGAAAAGTAGTTACAAGTTGACTGATCCTTGACTAAACTTGAACTCTACATGTGTCCAATGATTTACCCTATCCTGGTGTTTTTCTCAAGGGCAACAAGTACACATAATGCGTAAGTACCCAAAAAGAGTCTACTTCAGCGGATTTAAAATCTCCTGCAACAATACAGGAGGAGGAGTTGAATGACTTTTGTACTTTCTAGAAATGTATGCTTTTCTAACATTTTATTGGCTAACCAAACATCCTCCTACAACGGAAAGTTATAAACACCAGCAATTTAAAACACAGTCTGTGAAAAGGACAATATCAACTATGCATTTAAATGTCATGCAAGCTGTAAAAGAAGCCTAGAATAGTTTTACCTCTTTCTAAGGTACTATCAGAATGTCATTGTGTGTTCTCTAGTGAAATCTCTAAATCCATTTTACAGTATAGAGGGGGGCAGAGAGGAGATGGCTGAACTAAATTAAAACAATTAAAAACTGTGTAGGGGATTGTCTTGAGGGACCGAGAGCGTGGTTATCACACGTAAGTGACTGCCACTTTAATTCAGCCTGACTCAGTGAGAAGGGAGAGAGAAACCCCACGGACTGCCGGAGGGGCGGATCTCGGGTGCTGGTGACCAGAGCCCAGCTGGAAGCCTGTAGCTTGGTGTCCCCAAGGGCCAGCCTTGCTCAGCTCACTCCAGTGACCTGGGTGACCATCAGCACGACTGCTGATGACACGAAGCGGGGAGGAGTGGCTGATCCCCCTGGCAGCCGAGCTGTCTGTCTGTAAACCCTGGACAGCTGGGCACAGCAGAGCTCCACAGGGGCAGATGGGGTCCCTGCAGCGGGGGAAGAGCCCCAGCACCAGCACAGGCTGGGGATGGCCTGCTGGAAAGCAGCTCTGCAGGGAGCACCAGGGAATCCTGGGGACCAGAGGCTGTCGTGAGCCAGCACTGTGTCCCTGTGCCCAGGAGGGCCAGTGGCATCCCGGGGTGCAGTGAGCAGTGCCAGAAGGTCAAGGGGGCTTCTGTCCTCCTCCTTTCCCCAGCCTTAGTGAGGCACCTCTGGAGGGCTGTGACCAGTTCTGGGCCCCCCAGGACCAGAAGGGCTAGGAATGCTTGAGACAGCCCAGTGCAGGGCTGTGGAGACCATGGGGGTCTGGAGCTCCAAAGAAGGGCTGGGAGAGCTGGAGAAGGGATGGCTCAGAGGGGACATCACCAGTGCTTCTCGAGGGCAGAACGTGCTGCTGCTCTGTGACAGGGAAAGGGGCAGTGGGCACAAACAAACACAGGCAGATCCGTCTGAAGAAAAGGGAAAACTTTACTTTGAAGGTGACAGGGCACTGGACAGGCTGCCCAGAGAGACCATGGGGTGTCCTTCTCTGGAGATACTCAAAACTCACCTGGACCTGATCCTGTACAACCTGCTCCAGGTGAGGAGAGAGGCTGGACCAGAGGATCTCCAGAGGTGCCTTCCAACCCCAGCCATTTTGTGATTCTGTGAAAGGCACAGAAGGGTGTCAAAGAGGGCAGATGAGAGACAGAAGGGAAAGAGCGGGCAATTGTTGCGATTCTGTGTTAATGAGAGAAGAAATTACTAATCTGGTTTATGTGTCTTCCTCACACAAACACCATTCCCAGCAACTTTCTTGGTAGTTTCAAGAAGTCAAGGACTAAACAAACCAGAAATTATGCCAAAGTTGCACTGCATTCTTGTGCTTATGACCAGCTCCTTTCCATTAAATTGACAGATGACCAGGAGGAGTCTGGGCCAGCACCACAACATCCTTTCCATAAGCATTCCAACTTGTGTGCTGAGGCCTGTGTGTCCAGCAGACTCCAAGCTGGATGCTCTTTTGGTGCCCCTGTGTGCAACTTCTCTCTAAGTCTTGCTCCCAACCTTGTTCAAAGCCCATTCCTACAAAATTAAGGTTAATGTGACCAGATTTTGTGTCTGCCCTCCATTAATGGTTCAAGAAGGAGCAACTTTAGAATTTCACTAGGTCATTAAATACCAAGGATAGTTTCAAATCCTATAATTGGGAATTACTGTACAGGTGAAGCCTAAAATGTGTAGGTCATCATCTCAGGGTGCTTTTGAAAGCCCTACAGATTGTTATTATTGTTTCCAGGATTATTTCATTATTCACCTTAGAGATTTCATTTGCTCCCATGGCATTGGTTCTCAGGGGGCTGGCAAAAGGAGTATCGTGGGCACAAGAGAAGAACAGCTCAGAGCAGCCTGATATTTAATCATAGGTTGTAAATATCTTTTACAGACTTGTCTGTTTGCAACTGTCGCTAAGCATAGAAAATTACTAAATTAGTCAGCTTCATTTATGTTTTCCTTAAGGGAGATCTTGGAACATTAGTTACATTACATTTCAGGTTTGAGGACAACAAAGCTATGTATTCCTCTTGGAAAAGTAAAAGAGTATTTTGATAGAGAATAAATAAAATATAACAAATTTATTGCAACTATACCAAAGGTCAAGGGGCAAATTTTGCCTAATTCTCCATCTTCTCTTCCACAGGGCTCCGGAGTTCTACAGCCACAGGAAGCGCAGAGACTGCAGGGGAGGAGAATTGCTTCCCTGGCTCCTGCAGCTTGGACATCAGCATGAAGCAATCAGGAGGGTAATCAAGGAGAAAGGTATACAAGAATTGCCACAAGAACATTGTGTCTTACTAGGAGTACCCAGTGCTAGCGTAATTCAGAGTTTAAGTTTCCTCAAAACATCTTGAAAGAAAACAAGTCTCACTGCAGTGTGAGCCAACACAGAATCTTTACTGGCTTTCCTGGATTCTGGTCCTTGCTCCTCTTCCCGTAAAATGTTTTGGACTGTGTAGCAGATCCAGCTCTGCAGTCTGCACTTGAAGATGTGGCGCACTCACAAGGTTTGTGGTTTTGTGAATCCACCGAGCTTTTAACATGTGAAAAGAAAAGAATATTCATTCCGGCTCCCCCCAGGCCTCCCCCTTCCCCCACGCACCGGAGGTGTGGAGCCGTGCCTCCGATTCTTTCTGGCTCTCTGGAATTTTGCATTTCTGTGTCAGCTGGGCCTCCCTGCCCGCGCTCCGCGGAGGCTGAACACACCCAGAGCACAGAAAGTCTTGTGCAAGCAGCTGCAGCGTTCTGCTTCTCTGTGATCCATGTGTCTGTGCCTTCAGGGTTGTTCAGATAGTTCCCTTTTTATCTAGATTGGAAGTTTCTAAGTGAGGAGAATTTTTGTTTAGAAGATACTGATTTCCCCGGTATTTGTTACAATTGGCTGTATTTCGAGTATGTCAGGCGCTTAGTCAGCTGTTCCTGCAACTGAGACTTGTTTTTCTTCTTTTTTTCCCTTTCATCCAGTGGAAAAAGTTTCCTGCTGTTCTCCCTACTGATATTTGATATCCTATCTCCAACTGATGTACATATTTAACTTTTAAAGAACAGCATGTCAGCTAGCTCTGCTAATTAAGACTCTTTCTGGTTTTGTATTGTTTGGTTTTCTTTTGTTGTTTTGGGGTTGGTTTTTTTTGTTTTCACTGAAAGATTATTTTGGAGGTATTACTTCTCAGAGGAATGATTTTTTTCTAATCCAGCCCCCTCTTCTTAGCAATAAGAATTTTAAAAAATCACTTGCTCATGCTTGGTAGCAATGTATTTATTTAATCTTCAGCATTAAAGGAATGCTTACAGGGAGCAAAGCAGCCAGTCAGCAGCTTTTTGGAATGTCTGCTACAAGTCATTATAATGCAAAAAAGTAGGGAACTTGAGAGATTTGCTTTTAGTTTCTCTGGAAGTGTTTTACATTCTAACAGCATTCCTGATAATAATCTTTCCTCCTCTTTTTTTTTCCTTTTCTTTCTTTCTTTCTTTCTTTCTTTCTTTCTTTCTTTCTTTCTTTCTTTCTTTCTTTCTTTCTTTCTTTCTTTCTTTCTTTCTTTCTTTCTTTCTTTCTTTCTTTCTTTCTTTCTTTCTTTCTTTCTTTCTTTCTTTCTTTCTTTCTTTCTTTCTTTCTTTCTTTCTTTCTTTCTTTCTTTCTTTCTTTCTTTCTTTCTTTCTTTCTTTCTTTCTTTCTTTCTTTCTTTCTTTCTTTCTTTCTTTCTTTCTTTCTTTCTTTCTTTCTTTCTTTCTTTCTTTCTTTCTTTCTTTCTTTCTCCTTCTTCTTCTTTTTTTTTTTTTCAGGAAATAATCTTTCTGGCCCCACCAGCAACTACTTACAGTGGAAAGCAACAGCGGGAAGCCATTAATAGGTGGTTGTTGATGGTGTTATCAAAATGTATTAGTAAGAGAAAGGCTAAAAGCTGTCCACTGATCTTTTTATGATGACTCTATGACAAAAAAGCTTCCAAACCATTCAGAGAACACTGAACTCCCTACCTACCTTTACAGGTATTTCTTTCCCACTGTCTTTGGGAGCAGGAAGCTCCAAGTGGTAAAAACCCCAAGTACACAAAAGCAGGAGTACTGAAGGAATGTTAGAAGGGCAGAGTGACTGATGCTGTCATCTGATGGATTCATTGCCCAGATTGATGCGTTTATATAAAAACCTGCAGTGCTGTTCACAGACCCTCAGTGGTGCACCAGTGGAATTCGTGAGATAGCAGCTGGGACAATCACTTCCAGTTCAATAAATCTTTGTTTTCCTTTGCTTTGCTAAGTTGCAAAAAGTCATTGGTTCAAGGTCAATTTCTGTGTGCTTCTTAAAGTGTCCCAAACCAGCTCTGACACAGCCTCAATCACATCTTCCTTACAAGGCAGCACCACAGGGTGATGAAGGAAGTAGAACAAACCCAAATATCTGAACTTTCAGCATCTACTTTTTTTGAAAAATTACCTTTAAAATCTCCTTGACGAAATTCAGGTCACAGCTTATTGCTTGTTCACCTTCTGCCAGTCAGGGATTTACATTTCCTCCACCAAGAAGGAAAACCTTTCTATCACCAAAGTTGATGCCATAACCTAAACCTGTGGCCAAAGCTATTTTCCCTATAATAACATCTACCTTGCTTACTCTTCTATATAGCAAACTCCTTAACTGCTTCCAGAAATATTCTGGGCATCTGCTCCTCTCTGGTGTATTTTAATTTGCCCTTTTTGTCTTTGTGGTGTTTTTCAGCATTCTTTCCTCAGTTAGCTGTTCACATTTGATCCTCATAATTCACTAGATATTTTCATAGAAAAAAAAGAGAAAGAAAGACAGAAAAAAAAAGAAAAAGTGAGGCTTCTCTTGGATAGAAAAGATCACAAATAAGAGGTTTTACTTGGTCAAAAGACCATTGCAAAATCTGAATTTTGTATGGGAACAATCACAAAGTAGAATACAAATACAAGAACAAAGCACTTTTGATGCAGTTGCTGAAACTACAATCAAGATCAGAAAAAGGTTAGAAAATGAAATGTAATTAGTACAAGGTTTGGGGTTTTGACCCTCTCCTACAAAAGCCCAAAGGTAATCCCAGTTTTACATGAGGAAAAGCTTCTCCATGTGAACACAGGCTGAGTGAAAGAAGAACAGGCATTGAAAAAATAAGATAAGCTGTTTCCACAGGTATAGTCTATGGAAACCTTTTCCAAAAACCAGTCATTACTTTTGTGACCCTTATCAGCAAAACAGGGAATTCATGCAATAAAATTTATGTGAAGTGAATTTAGAATAAATTAAAGAAAGGCATTTTTTTAGCTGAGATAGGCATATAGAAAATAGTGCTTCGGGCACTTTAGGTAAATTTTGTGGCTGAATAATTTTAGAGCTGATGATAATAAGTGCAGTTATTGCACATACCAAGGTAAGGACAATTAAGATAAGGGTGATTAAATGTCATTCTCATGTAGTATGAATTCAATTGTCAAAAGTCAGGAGGCAGTGTTTTCTTCCAAACTTTTTTATTGCACACTGTATATTTTTAGGGAATATTAAAATACATTCACCTGTTTTTGGAAACCTCTGCTTCTTGGATGCAGCTGGTAATAGAGGAGTGGGTCACTGATATCATCTGGCATTGGATTACTTCTGGTGTCTGTGGCGCAAAGCCACTGGGCCTGCAAACACACCTCTGCAGGAATTTGCACTGAGAACCATATATTGCATCGTGGATGTGTTCAAAAGAATGCTAAAATATTCATGTAACCATCTTGAGTACACTTTAAATTTCCTGGTTTGGTGTTGTGTAAGCACTGGAACCTTTTCCTACATTGAGTATTCAGAACAAGTGCTGCTGAGCATTGGCGCGGAGATCTGAGGGGAAGCGTCCTGCCACCAGCCTTGATGAGCTGCCAGCCCTGCAGGGCTGCAGGGGCAGCCCAAGGCCCCAGAGGCAGAATTCTCTGTGCTTTCCATGCACAGGCACAGGCACAGGCACAGGCACAGCTGCATCCGTGTGTGCACAGCACACACAGAGCACGTTCGTGTCTCTGATTGCACTGTGCACGGGCACTGCTCGGCTTTTATGGACTGGTCTCTTTCACTCGTGTTATACACTTGTCAAACAGGCACAGGGAATCCCAGGATGTGTTGGAAAAGGTACAGCAGGAACTACCTGCAAATCCAGAGGCAAAGAAGTAGGGGGACTGTAGTACAAACACTGTCGAGACCTCACATGAAACACCATGTCCAATTCAGGCCTCATGCATTAAAAAACAAACCAGAAAAAGAAAACAAGTATGGATAAAGGAGAATGGCATCCTAAAGTAATTGGAGATGCCCACCCTCCTGGAGAGAAGGCTGTAGCCTGGCTAGTTCCACCCAGTACCAGCAGAGCTGTGTGTGGACAGAACCATTCCTCACAATGCACAGATGTATCCCGAAGGCACAATGTACATTTAGGCTATAAAACAACATTAGCGTGCCAAAAATAAATCAGGCATAAACTGATACTGGAGTTCTAGCTGGAAATTTCTAATTGTGCACAGAGGTCCTGAAACAGACTTCAAATATGAACAGAGGGGACAAGAAAAGTCTCAATTAAAAAACAACAACAACAACAACACACACACATACACACAAAACCCCAAAACAAAATAAAAAAACAAAACCCCAACCAAACAACAAGCACAATTAAATCACAAGAATCCTAATCACTCTCTCCTCTTTGAGACTGAATCAAAAATAGCAGGCTTTTTCATGCTGGGTAGTGTAACGTCTGTAAGGAATACCAGACATTCCCAGGAATGCCAGAGCTGTACTTTAAATTCAGCATCCCAATATTTTCAGTTGTTGCAATTTGGAATGAGGAGAGTTATGCAGAGAAGCATAACGCAGCATGCAACCAGCCCACCCCCAGCCAAGAGTTTTGATACTTCTGTGCATCTGACCATATGGTTGTAACAGAATTATTCTTTTTCCAGATTACTTCTTAGCTGCACCAATTTCAACAACCTGATTTTGTTCATCACAATTTAGATACTGCCATTTAACAATGCTGTGAGTGAAGATTGCATTTTACTACATAACAAAGTCATTTCCAGCGGCTGTGTGAAAAAAGCATGTCTACTACCCTGAATAGAAAATGAAAGTGACACATATCTGGTTTATGAGGGGAAGGTTTCCTTTCCTCTGGGAGCCACTCAGTATCAGAGAGAGGTTTGAAATACAACTTCTCTAACAGCCTGCTCTGATAGCACAGCCTCAGCTAGAGGCTGGGAAAGATCAGAGCTGCAAAACCTGCATCTGAAAGACTGAGCTGTTACTTCTCTGCTGCAAGCAGATAACAAAAAGTGTCCATGGAAACCATTTTTATGCTGCTTATCTAGTAATCCCTGAGCAAAAAAACCTTGGAAGACATGGATTACAAAGGACAGGCAAGTATCTAAAATGGCAGGGGGAGTCACCATCCTTTCCACACCTCTCCACTGGTTCCCCACCTTGGCAGCATCACTGCCAAAGATGTTTTGCCTCTCAGCTCTCCCCTGCTCCCATGTGTGTAAGGATTCCTGGCTCGGGGGAGTGCCAGAGTCGTGGCAGTGAACAGAGTGTGTGTGTCCAACACTCACAGCATTCCCTGAGAGTTCCCCTTGGGGATAACACACCAGGCACTCCCAGCAGAGCTTCCCCAGGCTTGGCTCAGCTCTTGGCCATCAGCACTCTGACTGCACCAAGCAGCAGCCCCACAGCAGTGGCTGCACATGGACTCAAACCTGCCTGCAGTACAGCCCATCCGCTGGGACACTTCACACCTTCCCATCTCAGAGGCAGCTAGAAACCAAAACCAAGCCCTGCGTGCGTGTGTTTGCCAGGCAAGACTGTACATGGCAGGTATTCAAGAAAAACGGTTCAAATGTTATCTGAGACACTTTGTGCTTTTTTAAACTTGAAGATCAGTGCTATCAAGCTGTTTCCCCACACATGCAAACAAAAACGAGGTTAAAACAATATTAGATCTGTCTTCATTTCAAAACAATCCTCCAAAATTAAGTGAAGGCTGATGAAGTGATTAATCTATTGATTTGAGGCACTCAAACTTAACACAGTGCTTTGAGATAATCTCTGGCATAAATCACTGGAAAGGAAAGGCACAGATAAAATAGGAAACTCCACCTACTAGCAGTTAATTTGTTGGATTTAAAATTGGGCCCCCACAGATCACAGCTATGCTTTGTAACAAATTCTTGGAATGGTTGTCCTTTGCAAACTGATTATATACATTTCTTCACTGGAGGCTTCAGCACTCACAGCAATAAGATCAGGAAGCCCAGTAAGTTTTCATACTACTGAAAAGCCATCTGTGAAGTATCTCAAGACTGGGAGTGTAAAATTATGACATAAATGTAGTGAACGTGTTCAAAAATGAGGATGGATGTACTGGAATATTTTTATTCCTCCTTGCCTTTTTCAGACTGCTAAAATTAGCAAAGGATGGTCTGTTCTTAGTCCTGATATTAATAACAGCAAGATAGTGGAGATCTTTCTTATTCCAAGAGCCTAAATTGTAGGATACAGCTCTTACAGAATGGCAGTCATATACTTGTGTACATGAAAACTCTCATGTACCTACTGTAGAGGGATTATTTTTTGTTACTTCTTAAAATACAGTAGTGTGTCTCCTTATTTTGGTTTAATATTAGTTTAATTTTAATTTTGGTAGAATTTTCCCAGCTGCTAGGTGCTTTGGTGCTAGGAAGATGCACAGTCATTTTGCAGAAATCTGTATAATTAAGCAATTTATTTAGCAAGTATTTCTCAAGTCATGCTGTTCATAATAATCTTGGCTAAGAAAATCAAAGCAGCATCTCCCTCAGCTGCTATCAAGAAATAATTCCAAGGTGATGACCATCATTCTCCCATACATAAAAGCAGAGAAAGGCAGCCCAGGCCTGAGGAATGAGAATTTGTGTGCTTTGAAGGCAGTCTGAAGCCACTGTCCTTGCATTTCAAAGGCCCCATAAATTTCTGTTAACAGGGTCAAACGCAGCACTGAAGACAGCTCTGCCTGGTATGAATTAAATCAGTACTCAGAGAACAAGCACCAATGATAGGTTTCTCCTTTGGCCAGCTTGTCATGGACAGGAGTTTTACTTGAGAATTAGGATGGTAAATAGAGTTTGTTCAAATGGCTAATAATCAAGAAAGTGAACTGTATAATTCCTGTTGGATAATAAGGAATGATCCTTCTATCTTCTGTCCATTGTAGATAATTCACTTACATGAATCCACAAAGATATATAAATTAAGAGTTTTTAAAAGGTTTGTGGGGTTATCCTGCAGTTCCT